ATAAGTGTCTTGAAAAGATTCCTGTACAATAAAGTTAAATTCTGTGCATTTAAGTCTTCAGACAGAACCAAAATAGTATAAATAGGACTTAAAAAGAACAAGCTACTGAGATTTACAGTATACAAGGAAATATAACAGAAAGTGGAGAGGCCAAAAAGCAATTAAAAAAAAAAAAAACCCAAACAAAAAAACCCTCAAAACCAAACTTCTGTCTAAATTGGTCTCCTTAAAAAATACCTGCCAAACAATTCCGGTTATTCATGTAACTTCCATCTATATTTGAGAGCCTTTGTTTCTGTATTTCAGCTAAATCCCAAGGAGAAAATTATTAATAAAGTGCAACATCAATATTAAACTGAAACTATTTCCACATTTTTTAATTTTTATGAAACTGTGTATTGCTTGCAAGTCCCTTTAATCATCTAATAACAAATGTCTGTGCTCCACGAGTCAAGGGCAATCAGCTATCATTCCACAGTGAAATCATATGCAAATATTTTTTAAAATGTGTGTAACTTTATATATATATAAAAAAAATATAGTGTATAAACCCACGGTCAACAGTGAAAGTAGTATTATGACAGGCCAGAAGATTGCAATTAGTGGATCACAGGAAAAATATTGTTTTGCTACTTGTCCATGTAAAAGTAAACAGTGCTCAGCACCCAGTTCCATTCGCAGCTCTTTAAGAAGAAACCCACAAACTTCTAGTTTTATAGTTAAAAAGTTTCTACAAGTAGGGACAGCCAGGCTCCAACACAGGAAAGTGGGCAGCAACCGCCTTCACTGCCCTGCCAAATAATCCCGTTCATAAGCTCATGCTTCACCATATTAGGAGCCACAATACAGATTCTGACTGTGGGCGACTCCTCTTCTGAAGGGACTGTCATACTTTTAGGTGACAGATTTCTGTTGTTTACAGATTTGCACGTGCACCATCCTCATCTGAGAAAACAGCCACAGTTTTAGGCACCATTTCTGTTGCTGTTCTGTGTTCACATGATTTCTCTGATTGACCCCTGCCCCCAAACCTGGTTCTACAACAGTGCAAATATACCCACTGGGCTCAAGAAAATCAGCTCAGCAAAAGCTACTGGTGTTCACCAGCTCAGAGCACACCGATGCGTATTTCTCCTTCTCCGATACAGTCAGGATGGAGACTAGTAACTTCTTTTACTATGGCCTTTACCTTCAGAGGTCTCTAATAGCCACAGGGAAGGATTTAGGAACTGCACCTACACTGCTTTCCTGTGACTGGCACAAGCAGCACGGAGCAGCTCTGGCTGGCTTTGGGAACAGCAAAATTTGATGACTCCAGATTTGGAAGGAAAAGGCCATATTCTTCCCAAAGCCTTGTACACACAGTCTTTGGGGGCTTCCCTACTCAGAGATTAAGACTTTTGGAAAGCCTAATGCAACTCCCAGCTCTGTGCTGAGCTTTACTTCCCCACTTTCATCAATCACATGCGTGCAACACAAACGTAGTGCATCCAGTAACCCTGGAAAAGCTCCCATCCCCCAACACTAGTAACCACAAAGGAGCCGTGTTTGAGGACGCTGAGGCTTGGGAAGTCTCTAAACTACCAATTTCTAGAAAGGTGGGAAAAAAATCTCTTTAAATTTGCCTGTTATGTTTTCCTCAGCTTCAATTTAGATTTCTTACGGATGAACTGCTTGAGTTTGTCCAAACTCATTCTGAACAGCTTTGGACTGAACCGATTTAGACTAAAATTGTAATGCATTATAACAACAACTAAATCTCAGTCTACCTCAAAGCACCTGGTGAAACATGCATGAAGACTTGATGAGCACTCTGCATTTCAAGTGATACCCAGGACACTGGAGTTGTCTGGAGATAGAAACACTTTTGTACTCAAGAGACACACATTTCAGAGCAAACACAAGACACTTGTCATGCATGGTTTCAAAACTCTGGATGCCCACAAGGCATGAAGTCTGCTGCTTAAGAGGACCAGCTATTCAAGGTTACCTCCTCCTGCCTGCCACCAGCTAGCTGAGACCACCTCCAGGCTCCTGCCGTCCCCAGACTGTCACCTCTACCTCTTCCAACTCCAGCAGCAGCTGCATGGGCTGCAGACCTAGCTATGTCTGAGAGCAAGTTTGCTGAAGCCATCTACCCTTCCCATGGCAAAGCACCACAAACAGAACACACAGACATACACCTTAACTGCAAATCACCTCCTTTCACAAGGAAAAAAACCAAGGAGTTTGGTTTTCATGCAGGTAAAGGCTTGATCGACCCTGATCTTCCTGAGCATTTGCAGCCAAAGTTGCACTCTGGATGTGTAAAGAACCACCATCACCAGAAAGAACTAAGTGCCAGATCTCTGTGTGGCTGCAAGGACTGATCACCAGTTCCCAGTGACCAGCTTCAGCACTCCAAAGCCACAACTACAACTTCGTGAAGTCGTTGAATCTTTTAACAGGCGTTTGTGAAATGCTCCATCTTCTTCCTCTCATTCTTCCTGAATGGCAAGATCCAACAGCACCACAGAAGACAGAAGCAGCTTGTGACAAACCCCATCTGAAAGAGCCTGAACAACCCTGACCTATGACAGGGAGCACTAAGGCATGTAGTGAAAACACATGATCAAAATTCAGAAGAAATCATCCTGAAGTTCTCTCAAGTTTAAAACCTGCCAAGATTCAGAGCTTGCGAGACACCCTGCTGATTACAAACCCACCCACCCATCTAAACTTAGCCAGTTTACATGGAGCACTCTGATCCATGCTCACTTTCACAGGTTGCAGTCTCCACAGCGAGAGAAAGAATAATAAAAGTTTAAAACTTCGCTGTTTTTTATGTGTGAAAAAAATGCTCCAATTACCTCCTTCCATTTGATCACAAAGCAGCAAAGGAGAACTTCAGGTCACATTAAAAGGAAATATTTACAGAATAGATTTTTTCCTTCTTAGGAGAATTAGGGCTCGTATTACATGATTAATAAACTTATATCAATCCCAAAAGAAACTTCAAAATTCCTTTTCTCTTACAAAATGGATTTTATATGACCAAATTTAGAAAACAGCCATGATTAAAAGCAGAATGCAATTTATTGTTCTTCACATTTTTCCCATATGCCTGTAAGTTTGAGACTGAACTGGTATTAGTGAACGCAGAGTGCTAAGACTGCTTCTATATACCCAGCTCAGGTACAACAGGTAATTTTTAAGATTTAATTCACTGACGCAGGTCACAATTCCCTAGCTCCTTGATATTTAACTTAAAATATCCCCATCATTGAGCTTCATTATATCAACCTTTTTTGTTGTTGGGGTTCTTTTGAGGATTTTATGGGAAGGGACAACATCTCCCAGCTTAATTTTTCTTATGGCTTTGGCTGTCTCCCCCATCCCACTCTTAAGTTCATCAGTGGTTACTAAATGCTGCCAATTCTGATGTTTTCTGCCACAGATAACATTACAATGACACCAACTTCTATCCACCACTGGGCTTTGTGAAAGAGGGGATTTCTTTTGAATTACATAGTGGTTCCCCAAAGCATCATCAATGGGCTAATGTCAACCAGACTACTGCACGTTATTTAACTTTTCACTGAATGTGAAAGCTATCTGGCTGTTTTTCTCAATATGGCTCCATGAACTCACTATGAGTCAACTACCAAGTATCTCAGGCGCCCACCCCAGCACAGAGACCACACAGTAAAAAGAAAACAAAACTGCAAGGCCAGAACTCAGGACTTCTACCCCTAGTGCTTCCAGCTCAGTTCTCTGTACTGCCCAAAATGCCATGAAGCGCAGTGGATTTGCAGAATGACAATTTCAGTTAAAAAGTTGGGTGAACGGTGATTGGTGAGAAACCAGTATTTAAGAATGGTCCATGATCCAAAAAGCTTGGGAAGCACCAGTGTAATTAGCAAGCTGCAGGCATGTGTGCAGGCTTGCCTAGTCTATAGTTATTTCTATCACCAGCATGAAAATCATCTGTCCAACAGATCAGAGCATCGTTTGTTCCAAGCCTGCAGAAGATACATGTGAAGAAGTGGCTATTTGTATAAAATGAGCATATTGTGGAGTAATTATTGGCATTGGGAAAACCTTGTAATTAGAAACAAGTGGGCGTTCTTTGTTTGTAAACAAATTGCATTTTGGTTCATCAGAGATGCTCCTTTAAGAACAAATTACAGCAGATGCTGCTTGTGTTCCCAGTGATTGAAAGGCCCCACCTGAATAAGCTACAAAAGGGTCACAACTGTATTTAACCCAGCACTTTCCTGGACAGGAATCCTGTTGGCAGGGGCTGCAACCAGAGCACAGTGCCGGGGGGGGCTGCTAATCAATTACACAACCTTCTCCTGGAGGTCCCCTTGCAGGCGCCGGGTTCAGGAGGAGTGTGCAGCTGTTGCCACCTAGTACAAGGATGGCGATGTTCCTGACTACAACTGTTCCCAGTTCTCCATGTCTCCGCTAAGTTGAATCCTCCAGTAGAACAAATCGTGGATTTGCATTACAAGACCTCTCAACAGGATTTTCCATCAAAAATAGTGATGGAAATAGCCTACAGTGATGACAAAAATCCTTGCTACAAGTATCCATGAACTGGCAAAAAATGTTTTCCTGCTATGTGCACGCACACAGACAGACTAAACAAACATCAGAAAGCAAACCGGAATACTCTGCTTGCACCTCACATGAAAGATTTCCTATTTGGGGCCCATTTATGGTGGAAGGTTCACAACAGGAGATCAGGGACAGGGTCACAATATTATTTGTTTTAAAAATGTCTGGGTTGACAAGATGGCAGGTTTTTAAACTGATGTTTGTCTTTGGGTGAAGGTCAACATCCTTTTTGGATCTTGTTCTATTTTCTGTTTGATAGCCATTAAGGGTTTGGTTTTTTTTTGTTTTGTTTTTTCTGTTTTTAAATCAAGCGTTACTTTTAAAATAATACAGCATAGCAACAAAAAAAAAAAAAAAAAAAAGGAGGAAATAGGAAAAGTAGATTAAGCATGGTATAAAGACCACCACAAACATGGTACAAACACCACCACCTACTGTCCAAAGCAGGATGCTAAATCACTGGCACAGATTTAACCGAAAATTCAGAAAACAGACAGCAGCCTGAACTGGGACAGAAGGTGAAAGCATTCAGTGTAGAGCAGCTTATAACCCACAGCAGCCATTGGATTCGCTATGACTGAAGGCAGGGTTAACTTGCTTTGTCCTAGGCTATCGTTTTGTGTTAATGGCAGCCATCGTATTCTGAAGTTCAGTCTTCTGATCACCAAAGCTGCTTCCTATCACTATTTGAAGCGTCAGCTCGTGTCAAAAGTTAAAACAAAAATGAGTAGGTCCACTTGCTGCATCTTGGTGGATGGTCATTTTGAATGGATTAGAAACAAAACTACAATTTTGTCTTAAATACCTTCCTCAACTTTAAAGAAAGAAAAGCAACTGGCATGCGTGTATTCAATAGCCCTTTGTGCAGTACCATTTTCAACTGTTTTTCAATGATGGCGATACGGGTCTTTCATATGGCAGCATAGAAACAGTCACTTTTCAGTCACTTGTCTTGAAGATAGCTCCCTTTCATAGACATGCCTCTGCATAGCACAACTATTAACTTCTTTGTGAAGCCTTTAACAGAATTTTTTTCCCTTTTTTTTTTTTT